CTGGAAATAAAATTGACATCTGGATCTACAATGTTTCACATTGATTATCTCAGGACATAAAGTTGACATCAGGATCGTCAAAATGTAAATAAGGACATTTAATTGACAAAAGTGATCTATCAGATGATCTACATTAATTTTCAAGGGTAACTAAGCTGGTATCTAGATCTACAATTTGATCGGCAAGAAAATAGAATTAACATAGAAATTCTTAAAAATTCTATAAGTAGAATTTTTAACCGTCACACTGTGTCAATTTTTTTTGAAAATTAATTCGCTTATAAACTTGCTATCATTTATATATGATGCTTTTTAATTAAAATTTCAATACTTTAAAGTCGGCCATAATGATAATTAGAAAACAAGTACATAACAATAATATTGGCGAGTCTCATCTTAGAATATTCCAAGTGAGTTCAAAATTTGAGAAGTATAGCCTTTAATTATACTGTATGTTTATTATAATGATATCAAGCTTAAGCATTTTAAGTAAGATTTTTTATTGTATTATTAAAATGTTTATAGTTTTATCTTTGATGTGGATAGTTTACTTATTCTTCAAAAATATTTTGCAGCACAAATAAATTTTGCTTATTATATAAAAACTTTTTTATTAGGTTTTAAAGAAATTAAAAGTTATCATCATAATGAATTTTAGTTATTTTATATTCCAAGACAGTTTAAAAGGGCACTCTTCATTTCAGTGAACTTATTCAGATTCCAAGTTTTAATTTTGAGTCAAAGATTTAAAATGTTACGTCACATTAATCACGAGAGATAATTATTAATTTATTATTGTTGTGACAAGAAGCAAAATTTGATAATTTGATCAAATTAAAATGATCCTGTCATTTCGTGCAGATCGGCCAGAACAGACGAAATGGCCGAAATGTCAACTGCCAAAAATGGACACAATTATAAAATATACGATATAATTAATTCGTTAATCATTTCTAAATTAGTATTGAGTGACATGATTTTTAATTGAAGTGTTCTTAGAATGCGATTTCAATAGCAAAGCTCCCATTTGATGTCTGATAATATAAGTCTCATTTCTAAAAATGACCAAGCTTTTCCAATCAGCAAAGCATAACATTTCAAAATATACATTCCTTTTGGTTGTCATAAATTATTTGAACAGGCCAATAAATATTAAAAAATAAATTGCTACACCTATAAAGGAATGAATCCATCAGAATTACCTACTTTTGAAGAATATGAAGCTGAATTAGACATAAAATGTATAAATAAGAAATTATTTTTTACCTGAAAATCATTTATTTTTGTTTATTGATCATCTGTCATTACACACGAAAATTAAAAATCGATAACTGTAGAAAGTGTAGATCTTTTATTTTATTTTATTTTATTTTATGTGTTAATCTTTTCTTGACTTTACTGTCAACACGCGATACCCAAATTTTAATTAAAAAATTAGTATGCACGGAAATTTACAAAATACAAACATTTATTTGAAAGTTTGCGTGTTTATTTTATAAGAAACTTTCTTTTCATTCTTTAGAATTTATTAAGTCAAATAATTAAATTTAATATTGCAAATGAAAATTTCAAAAAATTCAAAAGAAAGCTAGAAAGATAAAAAATGTATCACAAAAATATTCAAAATGTTGTATCATTTCACCATTATTACATCAAATATCATATGTTTTCATATGAAATAGGATATTCAGATATTAGTTTAACATCTCTTTATATTTTATTTTAATTTATTTGTATAGATATTTTCGAAGAATTTAAAATTATTCAAAGCATGTGAAAATATAAAGTTTCGATATATAAACACACAAAATTCGAATCAACACTTCATACATATCATACTTACACTCCTATTAAAAAAATTCGTCATTAAATCTTCCATAATCATTGCAATCACCTTTGGCCTAGTTATGCTTACACTCATTGAAGGTATATTTTAATGAATATTGACAATTTATTTAAATTTTTAACCATTTTATATATACTTGTTGGATGGAATAAAATGTGCAGGTCATAATGTATGAATACTGAACAAAGCAGATGTTAGCACAGATACTATGGCTGTTGCCACACATAAATGTGAAGGTAGCAACTATAATTGGTTTGATCTGTATAATGACTCAATCGACGAAAGAAATGCACCTGCCTACTCACAATGGTTATCATTTAGTTATCCCTGATAATGTAGATTCATATTGTCTCGTTTTCAGAGTAAATTATTCTGGTGAAGACGATAAATGGAAAGGCCTATTCACCAATAATGGAGATCAATGTTGGCATTTCCAAGGTAGTGAAGATAAATGGAGTGTATATCCATGTCCGTAAAGCGGCAATAATGATCATTCATAACTTTTTTTTAACCTTTAATTTATTTGATTTTTGTAGTCTTTGTCAACATCCATTTAATTTATTTGATTAATATAGCCATTTCAATATTTACTTAATTAATTCACTTTTAAAGGTTTACTTAATCATTTACAAATTTCCTCCTCAATATAGTTTTTATTAAAGTTATGAATGATAATCTTATTAGTATCTAATTTTATTTAACGTTAAGCAAAAAAAAATAACACACTCAAATTTAAAGAGTAAAAAACTCACTCACCTTCCACATATTTTCTTATAATAATGATCATTAGTAACATAAAATTCATATTTTGAGACGGGAATTACATCATTTGGAATGTTTAATAATTTATGTTGAATTGTTTGTAAATGAATTAATTTGTTTGTACGTAAATATGTTTAAATATTTTATAAAACTTCCAGTTCTTTTATGATTTATAAAGAACATATATTATTTATTTTCGTTTTCAGAGTCTTCATATGGGAGCTTTGCTATTAAAAATGGGTTTTGGGGACCTTTCAACAAAAAATGAGATTTTTGATTCATATTATAG